AAACATATTTTCAAATGGACCATGACAGGGCCCTAGTTTTCCCTTAATTCTCTACATGAACAAACGATTATTGTTATCTTTTTCGAGGGTGGACTCTTTCTTCCTAAAAAGTTGGAGGAGGATGTAATCTGACCATATGAGGATGGTTGGAGTGGTGATGAGACCTTCGACTGCAAATTCAAGAAAAATATACTCAAGATGGAGAATCCCAATATTGAGTCATACATCCCAATAAATCAAGAGATTACCAATTCGATGATCTCAAAGAGATCTTATTACAACAACGTATCAAATATCACATATCGCATTAAATTTTTACCTTGTATGATCCGTGCCGAAGTCCGAGCCTGGATTAAGACCATTGTCCATGATATTTTATGAATGGTGGAGGTAGTTGTCTCTTAGGATGAGTTGTTTTTTCTTCACGCACTCATGAAAAAAAATCATCAAAAAGTTTTGAAGATACATATGCCTAAAGAAGATGGTACAAATCCTTCTTTCTTCAATCTTTGTTTTCTATATTTGATCCAGAGATGAAGCCAAATATGAAAAGATAAGACATGAGTGTTGATCCATTAGAGAGACTTAACAGAGGTGAGGATAGCATGTGCCAAATCGGAGTGGTGTCAACGGTGTTGCAACTTTTTCCACTTAAAAACTACATGCAGATGTTATAATTGAAGGAACTAAGGAGGGGTGTTTTTTAACAACCCACGTGCATCGACATTGCCTGAATCTGAAGGTGGCTCTTGTTCAACGTATCAAGATTCACTATGTGCTCTGGGGGAATATGTTCAATAAGGATCTAGTCCACGACAGAAGCCATTGCAACCTCTAACCCGCCAGATAACACCATTGCCTATATCATTCCAATTTTATTTTCAATTTGAGGTGTTGTCACATCAAGTGGTATTTTGTGGCATTCGTAGATGAATCTTGCATCAAGTTATCTGACACCTTGTGCAACGTAACCCACTCATCTTCAAGGGTTGTCGACGCATTCATTTATTACATCTAGTAATGCATATTTCACTCGACCCTCGGTTGATAGGAAGTTCGCCGTACATGACCTTCACTCCTTCATTCTGTGAAGCAAAATCTGTCAGGCATCCCCCAGATGTAAGTCCCGTTGGAAAGCGGTCATTCAATACCTAGCAGTTGCACCCTCTAGGAGATAAACCAAAGTTAGGGGTGAGTCTCGTGTCAGCGAGAAATTCCCTAGGAAGCATCAAAGACTCACTGCAAGTGTAGATATGGATATTAAAGTGAACGACGTTCAAGCTGAAGCTTCAATGAAGGGTGTTACCAGTCATGTTGATCTCGAAACCTTTATACACCATTTGTGATGACAGGTAAGCGAAATTCACTCGTTGCACATGGATGCTCTCTCAAAAGGTCGATCGATAATAAAAAACTAAGTTACTTTCAATGGTTTGTTCCTACGTTGGAACCATTTGTGATGACAGGTAAGCGAAATTCACTCGTTGCACATGGATGCTCTCTCAAAAGGTCGATCGATAATAAAAAACTAAGTTACTTTCAATGGTTTGTTCCTACGTTGGAAACTCATCTTGGATTGTTGCTTGGGTGGGTAACGATGACAATCCGCCCATCTTTAACATACATTGTTAGAGGGAAATTCCCTAGGAAGCAACAAAGACTCACTGCAAGCGTAGATATTGATATTCAAGTGGACTACGCTCAAGCTGAAACTTCAATGAAGAGCGTTACCAGTCATGTTGATCTTGAGACTCCTATACACCATTTGTGATGACAGGTAAGCGAAATTCACTCGTTGCGCGTGGATGCTCTCTCAAAATATCGATCGATAATAAAAACTAAGTTACTTCCATTGGTTTGTTCCTACGTTGGAAGCTCATCTTGGATTGTTGCTTGGGCGGGTAAAGATGATAATCCGCTCTTCTTTAGTATGTATTGTCCAAAATCGTTCATGCCGCACATATCAAGAACACTTATTTGTAGCTTATTCTATAATAAATTTGCTCCCCGAATCGTTATGGATGTTGCTATGTTTCACTTTATAGTCAAAGTTGCAGGGAATTAAGTTCTCTAATCGTCTATTTTATGTGCACTTTTGTCCGGACAACTAAAATAATTAGATGGTGAAGGTATTCGTCCGATTCCAACGAGTTGGTTCATAAAAGTGAAGAAACTTGATTTTCATCATATTATAATCACCCCGTGTTGATGGCAATTTTTTTGCATGAGCTGAATGTTAATCTACCCGAAGAGAAGAAATTAGATGTTAGATTCATCAAACTGTCTTTCGGGAAAGCCTAACCACAACCCTAAGACATTATGCTAATTGTACAAAGCGTTGTGGTTCTACCCTCTTCCCAGTTCCCAACCACCGGGTGACACCAATGATTAGTCATACTTAATATTGCATCCTAGAATATTCAGGGTTTGTGGGATTCATTGGCAGAGCTGAACGAGATTTAGTTAAGAGCTACATACATGAATAACAAGTCGATATAATTTGCATACAAAAAACGAAACTGTCAGAGATGAAGATCGAAGAGTTAGGCTTGTAGTGACCCTCATGTTTGATTGTCTGGAAGATAATTCAAAAGTAAATTTGTCATTCTTATCCACTGTAATCTAAAAGTTGAGACTATTAATTTTTTTGTTAACCTGTGAAGTAGATAGGCGTGGGTGAAGATATGAATGAAAGACCAAGAATGATTTATAGCTCCATTTTATGCACCCAATGATAGTTTAACATGAACATGCTTCTTCGATGTGAACGCTTAGTGGTTTTGGGCGACCATAATACTTTCGTGGATAATCATGAGGAAGTGAAAGGTAGTAGAGATATTAGGGTCTTTACGAAGTCAATGTCAGACATGGATATGCTTGAAACTATACAAATTGTTACACCTAAATGCTCTTAGATACACCTAGTTTTTCAAACTCCATGAGGGCAGAGTCTAAGAAACCAGAAAGAGAGTTTGACTATTTTAGAGTTACCACGTAAATCCTAAAAAGGCCCTAGGATGGTTGAGTGGACGAATGAAGTTTACGAGCATTTAAAACGTAGTTTGTATTATTTCAATTCTAAGGAGGAGTGATAGGACACTGGTTCTGAAACTTTTTCGAAGCACCTGAGCATATTTTTGCGGATTACTGTTGCAGGTGGGAAACGACATAAGCATTTCTCATCAAGAAACTTGACTCGAAATACGCTGAGTTCAAAATGAATCTCCACCCTGTTCCAAATATAATTGAAACTTTAGTATGAGACAAAGTTTTATAGCTGAATGAGATGAGTATGAATAGTCACTATTAGAACTATGGGCAAATGGTTGAAGGTGAAGGGTATAATAGTGTATGATCGAATTACCAAAGATTGTTTTGAAAAAATACTGCCTAAGCACTTGATTCAATCCATAAGTGAACTAATGCACCCATTGATCAATGATCTCTCATTTGCCAGAGAACAGACTCAACTCTACTCGTGTGTTGTTGTGTATTATCAAGACATTCTCACTACTAAAAGGCCGAAAAAAGATATTATTGAAGACCTGTTATAAGGATCCAATCATTGACCCTCCTTCACGACGAACTTCCACCACATGGTAAGTTTAACCTAGACCACCCTATACATTGAGGAAAAGGCATATGAGTCTTGGGGTATGCCCAAGTGTAAGGCCTCGGGAGACGCTGAACTACCGATTGAGATATATCCGGTAATTTGAGGCATGCCAAGGAGAACTTGATAAATATGTATAATAAGGCGTTGCTAAAAGAAAATTTACTAATGAGAAATGATGTCATCTCTCTCTTCTCTACAAGAAAGGATACTGGTTGGAACTCCATAATTGGTGGCCAATCTCGGTTTTCAATGTCCCACATAAACTGTAAGAAAATGTCATAACTAGACGATGAAGTCGGTACTTACCTACACTGGTCAATAAGGACCAAGTGACATTTATTACAGGTCGATTGATATTCGACAATATTGTAACGACCATTGAAGCATTGGAGATTGTATAGAGGTTCAACCTAGATGTTTCAATCGTCATGCTTGATTAAGGAAAGCTTACAATAGGGTGCAGTTGACATATTCTCTTAACTACTTTGAGACATGTTGGCTTTGGGGAAAATCTGTGAAGTCGGGTTGTGGGACTGTACTCCTTCTCTATAGCAGCGGTCATGGTAAATGGCAAATTATCCGACTCCTTTTCACTAACTAGGTCTTTACGCTAAGGCTGCCCGTTATCCCCTCTCCTCTTTGTGCTACGAATGGAAAACCTATTGTGCAACATCAGTCTCACAGGCATATAAAAAAACATTCTTGCTCGTACTTCTCAATGTAAGATCGAGGCCCTGGCTGACAACTTGTTCGCAGTTCCTGAGGTTATCAAGCCTGCCCTTACCACATCATTCCGGCGCTGCCAAAGGTTCCAAAGATTGCTCCTATCACAGACTCGTAGACATAAGCACGGGCAGGTGGGAGTTCCATAGCGCCCAAAAGGTCAGAAAAGATCCACACTACCAATTAAATTCCAATTAGGGTAGGGGAGAGGATAGACACTACCAATGAAATTCCAATAAAATTCCAATTAGGTTAGTAAAAGGTCAGAAAAGTAAGAAAGAAAAAGAAGATGGTCCCGGATACGCGGCAGCAGGCCTCACAGGTGATATGCCTGGGTTAGGGCCTGGTAGCTGCACCACTGGCCATCCGCCAACATTTTGACTGCATCTGGGCGGAATATTCGTCCACATGCATTCAAAATCTTGGCGGATGGCGAGTAGTGCAGGTAGGCCCTTCGGTCGGCATGAATCTGGACCTGAAACATCCAAAGTTGGCGCCACGGACATTGCCCTCCTCCAGCCCACCTGTCCGTGACCAAGCGGAGGTACTGGACATCACGTGCACGATTCTGCCGATTCTGCGTGAAGGCCACCCGTCAATGGCCGGCAACGAACCAGATTCGCGGGTGACTAGTGGCAAGGCACGCGAGTCTCGGCAGGACACGTGGCACTGCAGGGTCCCCCGCGCGAAGGACGGATGAGGGAGGGAGGGAGGGGGAGATCACCTCAACGCAGTCGGAACGTGCGTTCAGCGTAGTCTTAGTGGGGGTAATGGAAGGCAGGGTGCTGCCACGTGGTAGTGCGATTCTGCACTGTAGCGATTGCCAACTCGATAGGAGGAAACGCCTGGAATGGCGGTCGTCACGTGGCCCCGGCGCGGGGGGCTGGGGAGGGGGATTGGCGTGGAAATGCCGCCCGAGGGCAGGATCGCGCGGGATATGCGCAAATTGTCTGTCGACGGGATTGACAAGGGAGAGGAGCGAGGGGAGGAGGCGGATGGGCGCGGAGGCGAAGCGGAGTTGCTCGTCAGAACGACAAGCCTGGACTCGCCGTGTTCTATTAGATGACGAGTGCATTGGCGCGCAGCGAAGGAGGGTGGCGCGGGTGCCATCGGCAGTATCTGGGGGCATCCCCCTAGAGTGCATTGGCGCGCAGGGGGGAAGCAGAGTGCCACGGAGGTTATGGGCAGCATCTGGGGAAATCGCCCAGGAGTGCATCGGCGCGCAGGGGGGAAGCAGAGTGCCAGGTGGGTCACCGGCATTATCTGGGGGAATCGCCGAAGCGGGGGAAGGGAGAAGGGGAGTGAGGGGATACATCGTATGTCAAGGACTTGCTTTGACCGGGTTATTTGGTGACTGGGGGGTGAGAGAAAGGAGGACGGGTAGGGGGGACCCAGGGGGCAGGCGGTCATTATTCTGTAGGTGCAGATGGAGGAGAATGCCAGCGATGGCGCGGAAGGAGGAGTTCTGGGAAGAGGAGGAGCAGTTATGGAAGGTGGTGATGAGAGGGCGACCCGGATGGACGTCGGCGCCGAGCAGCAGGGGCAACGGTCGGAATTGTGTTCGGGATCTCACGTTGGGTTGGATGGGGATCGGGATGCCTTGCGGCGGGAGCGGGAAGAGGAGCGCACGAAGCGCCCGCTTTGCCGTTCCGCCGCCGGCTTCCAAGTCCGAGACCGCAGTTGACACCGACGCTGACACCGCCGCTACCTTGTCCCCTGCTCCCAGTTCACCTCCTCTGTCTGGTAGTCCTCCTCCTCCTCCTAGTTTGCACGCGTCCAGTGACAAAGACACTGCGCGGGGAGGAGCGCCATCCAATCAAGTTGGTGCAAGGTCTGACGATGTCGATGTTGATGAACCTGGGCATGACGGGGAGGAAGGGGAGGAGGATAGGAATAAGACTTTACCTGGCACCTCCAGCTCGCCGTACACAAGTGTCCAAGAGATCTTGACATCGGAATTGCTAATGCCAGCTCATCAATTGGCTCCTCAGGAGATCGGGGAATGGCTCAGAAGGAAGAAGAAGAAGATCAAAGGGCGGAGAATCGCCGTTGATGAAGAAGGGATCGCAGCGGTTGTTGCAAGACTTGGAACAATGTCGCCGTTTGCAGACGTCGATGGCTACCTGAACACGTGGGTCGGACGCTTCAATCGTCGCAATTTCCCCTCGCTAATGAAGGTATGTATATCTATGTACAGGCCCCTCATTCCCCTAGCGCCCCCCCTTCCCCTCCCTTCACCCCCTGCAAACCTCTCTTTCCCTTGTACCCCCCTCACAGCTTTCCTATTCCCTCACAGCTGCTCTGGGTAAGGTTTGGAATTCTCGATCATCTCTGCATCCTTCACTCTTTGCCTCCCTCCCTCCCTCCCTCCCTCCCTCCCTCTCCACGCTTCCGTATCTACCCCCGTCTGCACTTCCTCCCCGTCTCCTCCCCCCAACCCCTCAGCTTCCCCGCTCTTTCTGTCCGTGTGTCGGCTACTCCCTGAGCGGAGCGTAATACCTCAAGCGGCGTGTTCAGACGCTGAGAGTGAGAATGGGTGGTGGCTTCTGATCGTGTGATGGAAAGTGAGGGGAGCATGCAGTAGCACTCACGCAGCATGGAATCCCACTGTAGAAACAGGTTGAAGCGTGATTCCTGAGGATTGTACGGCCCAATAGCCACATAGCCACATAAGCGGATAGCCAAATAGCCGAAGCTCTACTGTAGGCTGAAGGGGCATACCCCTTCACATAAATAGTCCGCCCAGTAGCCACCACGTAGCCAATAGCCAAATAGCCAAATAGCCGAACAGTCGGCCTCGGGAGGCATACCCCTCCATATGCACGATCTTCCCAATACTGCCCCCCTTTTGCACATTGATCCATAATTTGTGCTGGAGAGTCTAGACACGTGGCTTGGGGTGTCAGCGCCGCCATCCCAGGCGTGCCATCGATGATGTCGGGAGGTGAAAATCGGGAGGCCATCGAGCATGGGTCACTGCATGTGATGGCTCAGTTAGGCGCCACGTGTCAGCAGGTGGGGCATGTGTGACGATTTTCATAGCAGCCACCCCTAGACGTTGGTGATGGTTTGAGTTAGGGTGATGAGACTGATCACGATCCTCCTTTGGAACTGGTCTCGAGCCTTTGAGAGGGGTCCCTTGAGCCTTTGAGAGGGGTCCCTTGAGCCTTTGAGAGGGGTCTCGAGCCTTTGAGAGGGGTCCCTTGAGCCTTTGAGAGGGGTCCCTTGAGCCTTTGAGAGGGGTCCCTTGAGCCTTTGAGAGGGGTCTCAGGGATGTCTGTCGGTCGTCCCTAAGATTGTGGGCCGGTCAGGTCTTACAATGTTTACAAACCAGACTGTCTGTAACTGGAACAGTTTCCCACTGAAGTCCGCCTGCTCCCTGTAAGGGTCTCAGGAATATCTCTGTGAGTGGTTTGTGAGGGGTCTCAGGGATGTCTGTGAGGGGTCTCAGGGATGACTGTGAGGGGTCTCAGGAATGTTTTGTGAGGGGTTTTAGTGTGCGAGGGGTGTTTGGGATGTCTGTGAGGGGTCTTTGGGATGTCTGGGAGGGGTCTTTGGAATGTCTGGGAGGGGGTTTTAGGGACCTCCGTCGATCGTTGCTCAGGTTGTGAGGCTGCCAGGTCTTCTAGTGTTTCTTTACAAATCAGACTCTGTTTGTATATGGGACGCTGGACCCGTTTTCCATCAGGTGCTGCTCCCCACCAATAGATGTAGCCTCTCCCCAGGTGCTAGTGGTGTCTGCTCTTATCAGCACCACTAACACTGGCGGGGGCGCTTTTCATCAGAAAAAAAAAAACAAACAAACAAACAAACAAACAAACAAACAAACAAACTCTGTTTGTACCATGAACAGTTTCCCACTGCAGTCCGCATGGTCCCTGTGTCCCGTTGCGGGTTGTGGGACCCTGGGCTAGCGGGACAAAACGACAGCACAATGGATCTTCACCCTGCAGGGAGTCTGCAAACTCAGCTCTCAGGCTGTTACACGCGTATTCCGCTGGCGATTGCTTGCATAATCTACGGTCAGAAACGAGGTAAGGATCCGGTTAAGTGTTGCACATGTGTTTTTTTTTTCTCTCCCCTTTACCCTCCCCACTCCCCAACCCTCCCCCCCCTCCGGCACCAGATTGTTGGACGTCTCAATTTCTTCACTCACCCCTCTCTCTCTCTTTTTTTTTTTTTTTTTTTTTGGTCTCACTTTTTCTCTTGATAAGGCCTGAGCTCAAGCTTTTTTTTTTTTTTTTTTTTTCAACTGAGCTCAAGCTGCGAACTGTGCTTGTTTGTATTTGTTTATGTGTTAGTTTTCGTTGTCTGTGGGCTCGTCGTTGCACTGGCTTCCTTTCCTTTCCTCTGCGGTACCTCCCTACCCCATCTCCTCCCCCGCAAGCCATGGATGGACTTGTCAATTTCTTCCCTCACTCGTGCCTCTTCCCTCATCAAACTGGATTACATCACATGCGAGCTGCTGCTGCTGCTGCTGTGTGACAAATCATCTTTCACATAGATTAATTGTTGGGAAATTTTTCGAAATGCCCCTCCGACTTCCATTTATTTTTGGTATGCCCCTCTGACCGCCGACTTACCCTGTCGCGCCCCTCTGACAACGATTGAAGTTTCTGAAAAACCCCTGGCGCCGTTTGGGCCCGAAATATGTTCAATATGCCCCTACCGTTCCAAATTTCCAGTATGCCGCGGTAGCTCCCCTTCCAGGGCCAGGGGAACGGCCACCAGTGCCACCAACGGCCACAGGTATATGGAAAGTTGTAGCCCTCACTGACAGGGGCCTGTAGGAAACTTCAGAGACCCCAGGGGCTGCTCCCCTCCCAGGGCCAGGGGAACGGCCACAGGGGTATGCTGGAAAGTTGCACCCCTCACTGACAGGGGCCTGCAGGAAACTTCAGAGGCCCCAGGGGCAGCTCCCCTCCCATGGCCAGGGGAACGGCCTCCAGTGCCACCAATGGCCACAGGGGAATGCTGGAAAGTTGCACCCCTCACTGACAGGGGCCTGCAGGAAACTCCAGAGGCCCCAGGGGGATGGCAGGGTAAGTCAGCCGTCGGAGGGGCATACCGCAAATAAATGGAAGTGGGAGGGGCATTTCGAAATATTTTCTCTTAATTGTTTTCTTCTTTTTTAAAAATCGTATATATATTTGTATATCTATGTCGTCATATAGGTACTTGCTCCGTGCATCTGCGCCCGCCTACGGATAGGTTGCGTATTCCTTCTTTTTCTTTTATGGGTTATCGACGTTACGGGGCATAAAAAGTGAAAAAGAACTTAGGTGTTATACGCATAAAACAGAGATGATGTAAGTTTTATAGGACTAAAAAAAAAGTAGAACATGTATGTTCTATATGTTCTATTATTCTATATGCTTTATAGGGACGTGGCATACAAAAGTTGAAAAACACAGAGATTGTATGTTCAATGTTCTACATGCTTTTCAGGGATGTATAAAACGTAGAGATCCAGCCCATATGGCTGAATGGTATACCCACATATACAAGCTTCTTTTTTTTTTTTTTTTTTTTTTTTTTTGGTTCTTTCTGGTTGTTCGAGAATTTCCTGTTATGGTTTTCAATGGCGGAGTTCGGGCCGGACCGACGGGGCTCCGCTGGCGCAAAATTAGCGCTCGGACCAGGCGCGGTCGACCGGTAACGGAAGACGTGGGCTGACGCAGGGAACTACCGACGAGATAGCTCCCTGGTAGAGGGCAGGGCCGTCATCGCATGCCTAGTCATGCGGTCATGGCGCTCGTGAAGGCCATGGAGGTACTGCCCGCAGCCACTCGGTATCCGGGACCCGACATAGTCCGCAGGAGAGGTATGCACAAGAGTTAGTTAGGAAGGAGAAGAAGGGACCATATCCGGGACCCGACATAGTCCGCAGGAGAGGTATGCACAAGAGTTAGTTAGGAAGGAGAAGAAGGGACGAATCATAACCGAGAAGAGATAGAGAGCAAGTAGGGTTGACGACTACGAGTATCGAGTCAAGCGAATGAGTGAAGGAGAGCAGGAGGATACCGAGAGGATGGCTGACGTGGAAGAGGGTGAGATTATGCTACGATGAGGGAATTCTACCAACCTCCATCGATCCTGGTGAAACGACAGTCAACGGGAGAGAAGTTACCTTCAAGGTTAACAATCGGATAGACAAAACAAAAGTGGAATGGCTAAAGGAGCACACAGTAACGGTGATCTTCCGCGAAGCAGCACGGTTCCTGCCGAAGAAGACGAAAGACGACATTGTAAGGGCGTACGAGGATGTACGCACACAGGATGGACACTTCGAAGCGAACACGTTCCGAAGAGGGAGGATAAAAGTGGAGGGCCAAAATGTCGTCTCCTACGTGGCAAAAAGCACGGCAGTGAGGCAGTGGCTGTTGACCAAGGGAAGAGATGAAGTAACGCTCGAACACACTAGATATGTGATGGATTTCAAGCCGTGGCTGATGAGAGCGCAATCACGAGAACAGAGGAGGCAGGAAGAAGAGGCAAACTTTTGGGTGATAGCGGTTCAGGTATCGCTAGATGCGATGTTCCACTTGGAGGCCCAAGTAGCGAAGGCGATCGGGACGGATGTCCATGCACACCCAGCCGAACAAGATAGGCAAAAGCCAGCTTTCATCAACCTCAAGTTCGACTTGGATCTGGCGGCGAGACCGAATATGAAAGATAAGATATCAGTGGTGACATTCGAGGGAGATACGCTGACGGTGAACATCCTCCGACACCCCAAGGTGTAGGAGATGTAGAGCTTTCTTCCACGAGGAAAGCCAGTGTCGGAGAAACATGCAATCACAATAGGGCGGTTCTCAAGGAGGGCAAGGACGAAGACAGGAAGCATCAGTAGCACAACCATAATACTCGAGGCCGTTGGGCCCACGACCAAGCCAGGCCGAACTAAGACCAGAGCGATCAAGGGAGCAGCCGATGCAAGAAGCAGCAAGCAACTACCACAACGCGGCATACTCGCCAGAACCACTAAGGCGGCAGCCGTACTTCCCCCCCCATGGGAATGTCAGGGGCGCCATCGGGAGTGCCGAACATGCTACCCGGAATGCCGAACAACATATCGACATTCGGACCATGGCCAGGACTAGGAGCGAGGAACCATACGGGGCTGCCAGGAGGGTACGAAATCCCGTATTACCCCCAAGAAGAACTGGGAGGATAC